CGGTTATATAAATTCAGAACAAAAACATCACATGTATAATAAGCTCTCCACACGCCATATCTCCCAACGTTGACCTATGGAGAATTTTTTTTCTTCTAGGGCATTTCTTATAACCGTAAAGGTCCATCATCCCCAATAGGATTTTCCAGCCCCTAAAATCTTGTCGCACAGTGTTATCAGATACCAGTTAAGGTAGATCGATGTTTTATAATTAGCTTAGCCGTCCTTCCGAGACGAGACCTGAACAAGTACTCTTTTGGTTTAGAGACCTGGACAAGGACTCTAGCCGGGAAATGTGACAGGACGATTTGAGTGTTAGATATCTGGATACGTACTGTCACAACAGCTGTGGTTTTGGGATTCTACATGCAACATACCCTAATAAGAACTCAAGGAAGGATGCGAAAAAATTTAAATACATTTGGTCTTCTATATCGCTTTATATGTATGGCAAATAAAATCTCATAATAAAAATGTGTAATATGTGTTGCAAATTATATGAATACATCACACCAAACTAAATACATTAAATACGATGTTTCCTTTTTTTATAATACGTATTTTTACGCTTATTCAAAACTCAAATATATTTCAATTTATTTTATTTCCTTGTTAAAATCAACAAAACCAAACAAAAAACTCGTTAACATTTATTCAAACAGTGTTGATACTACTATGTGTTAAACTTTGAGCTTTATTTACAATTTTTGTTAAAATACAACATAACTTTATATTACAGAACCAAAAAGCAAAAGAAAAAAACACCACAACAACAAAAACAAAACTAATTCCAAACAAAAACCAAACATATTTTACCCCCATTTCCAATATTAAAATGGAAATTGCTGCTTTAAAAAACGAAAAGAAAATAAAATTAAACTCCGCCTTTCTCATTTGCAAAAACACTCCTTCCCACTCCCCCCAAAAAGTAGAGTAAACATTTCTATTATTGAGAGTAGTGCATGAATAAGCATGTTTTATATTGAAAACTTTGTTGGTTTCTATTATATTTTTTTACTATTCATGAACATATTTCAATGGCCATTGCTATGGCCATTATCATACACCTCCAACCCAAACCGTATACCTCCCCCCTGCCCTTCCGAAATCCTAACACATATTTCAATATTAAACTTTTGTTGGAAATTTCCCCATTCATAGTTCGTTTCGGCAAATATGGAATACATACGACGAAGAAGAAGAACCTTTAAAAATTGAAAATATTTGCAATGGAGCTATAAAAATTCTATTATGCACACACACATACAAACAAAAATGCCTATATTTGAGTGTGTATGTGTGAGGATCTACAAAATAACACTGAAGTGAACTGAAACGCTGGGGATGCTCAATGTTGTGCAAGTACTTAAAAGACGATTAAGGATTAAGAAATTACACTTCACTGAATTAAATGAGAAAATAGAAATGGAGAGAGCGGATATACAGTGGACACTCGATAAATGCAAATATACCATATCTAAACATTTAATTTTGAAAACTTAGTGTTAGTTTACAATAAGGTATTTTACTTATATGAAACAAATAACTTTTTAAAAATTGTTCTTATTCACATTTTCTGCAGCCCACTGTAAAAGTATTACCACTCCATTGCTGCTCTAAGTCTGAAATACGTTCACAGCCACGTTCATCCGTTGCTGACAATCAATTGTACGGTGCGATATAAAAATCCTCCCATTAAAAATGGCCAAGTTATTGCCGAGTTTTGGCACGTATTTAAACATTTTTCATTATTATTGTCGGTCGAGAAAATGTGACTTAAATGCTTTTGCTGTTAAATGAATGTGGTAACCACGTTAAAGTTGTCTAGAGAGAAACTAAAAGTTTTGCAAAGAAAAAGAGTTTATTTAAGAAAAAAATTAAAATTTACAAATATTGTAACGTCTTTTAGTTTTTAAACATTTTTGGCTTGCAAACATACTCCGTTTTCCGTGAAGATACATTTTTGGTTACCCATAAATTTGAAATGTAAGTTCCATTACAGGTCAAATTGAATAGTTCTATTAAAATGTTGTAATATATAATATTCGTATTTTTATTACAATTCATACTATGTCTTTTATATAAACTCCATTTAATACTCTCGAATACTGGTGTACAACATATGTATGTATCGGAGTATTTTATTGTCTGACACTTCCATTATAGTTAACTATTGTTTTGACTATCTGCAGGTCATCTCTCCAGCTCCCCACATCGTTATGGTGTGTGTGTGTTTGTTCGCTATTGTGAACGTTCGTTCACTGACTGCTAATTCCTGTTTCACAAATGAAATGGAAATAAAACTAAAGCTTTTGTATTTTCATTTTTATTTTTATTAACAATTTATACAATTGCCTGGTAGTTGTGGTCGTGGAAGTGTGGCACTTGTGTAACAGACACATTTGGCGTAATACATATGTACATATCGGGATTAAGATAACAATGGGAGATGTGTATATTAGGGTGGTCCAGTGATTTATTGTGACAATTGTAAGTTTTGTTATAAAGGTTATATATATGAACGGCTACAATTTTACAGAAGCCTTATCGAAGGTCTCTCACAGATCAGCCGTATTGAAAATTCAAATTTAACATTCCTAACAAATCCATTTTTATGATTTTCGACTCGAAAAGAAAATCTTAAAAAAATTAATTGGTCTTAAATATTTGTTGAAAAAATCCTTGCAGTCCAATTCATTAAATGATCTTGAATATTAGTTAAAAAATCTATTTTTTCCTAGTTGAATATGATTGATTAAAAATTTCGTGAAAATCGGTTCAGATTTACATATAGCTCCCATACACATTTTCGTCCGATTTTATGTAAATAGTGCACCAATGTCCCTATATATCCTTCGATATGCACGAAATTTGGCATAACGTGCTGAATATAGACTAGAATGATGTGTGTTAAGTTTCGTGAAAATCGGTTCATATTTAGATATAGCTCCCTTATATATTTTCGTCCGATTTTAGGTAAATGGTGCATTAAGTCCCTATATATACTTCGATTTACACGAAATTTTATACATCGTACTGAATTAAGTCTAGAACGATGTATGTTAAATTTCGTGAAAATCGGTTCAGATTTAGGTAAAGCTCCCATATATATTTTCATCCGATTTTATGTAAATGGTAAAAATCGGTTCAGATTTAGGTATAGCTCCCACATATATTTTTATCCGATTTTATGTAAATGGTGCACCAAAGTCCCTATGTATCCTTCGATTTGCACGAAATTTGGATTTATAAGTAAATGAAGAACTCAAAATGTGGCCGAATACCTAACATGTGACAAGTTTCGTTGAAATCGGTTTATATTTCGATATTTTATAATTTGGTCCCATTGTAAGAAGCAACTATATATCTGACCAAAATTTAGTATAGGTTGCAGAATGACATGTTCAATTTCATGTTAATGGTCCTTCAAAAATGCGACGTCTGTTAGGATTCAATCTGTTGAATATACCCAACATGGTGTAGGGTATCATATAGTCGGCCCCGTCCGACTTTACTACTTTCCTTAGTGGTTTTACTTAAGCAATTAAACACTGACTCCTACTGATCTAGTTGCTTTAAATCCCCTTAAAATGACGTGCCTATGTATTTCAATGTCCCAAAACTCCTACACACCAACATTCAAAAATAGTTTTCGACAAATGTTACATTTGTGGTAATGGTAAAATTATTCAAACCCAACCTTATGCGTGTTTTTGCTCTACAATTGTATAGCTGGTAACACAATACACATATACACACCTACTTATGTGCATGTGTGTGTGTGTTTATTGTCATTTGCTTATTGTCGCTCTAGGCTACTATCATTCTTTTTTGGGGATTTTAGGTTCCATATGAAGGTCTGTTTTCATATACGCTTCTTTGGAGTGATACAAATGTATTTTTGGAAGTTTTATTTTAGTTTTGTTTGCTTCCCGGTCTCTACCTCCCCACGTCCATCGAAAATGGAACACGTAATGCTTAAAGTGTCAAATGAAAATAAATTATTTCACCAAAAAACAAAAAAAGAGAGAGAAATAAACGAAAAACCTTCCGATACAATCGTTACATATGAAAACCATACAAAGTTGAACGTGTATGTTATGGAGAAGTAGTTTGAAGTTGAGTGTGTTTGTGTTGTTGCTGTTTTGTTATAGTAAGTGCTGTGGGCATGCAGGTATGACACAAGATAATCTTAATACATGTCGCTTACCTAGTACAACCAACACACACATTTGGCGACAGATAACGTTTGCTGTAGCACGCCAAACACACACAATTTGTGTTGGATAAAATACGATTCTAAAAAAGACGACGAAGAAGAAATAAAAAAATAAAATTTCGTTGTTTGAAGGTAAAAACAGAGAGAGAGAGCAGCAACAACGTTTCTTGTTGAGGTTTTTTCTTCAATGTTGAAAGTTCAAGGACACGAAATGAAGACATGTCTCTGTTACAGCAGCAGCAGTAGAAACACTAACAACTTCTACATCCAACCAACCACACACACACCCACAATCACACATACTGGTAGCTAGTACAGAAAAGTTTTTACATGTATTAATAAATTATAAATGAAACTTAATTGTAAAGCAGGAAACTGTGCACTCACTATCTCAGATCACAACCGAAACTATAAATTTTATCTTTCGTTCATTCTTATTATCTATCCATGGCTTCATTATGATTGTAGAATAAATTTTAAATATACATGTGTATGTATTTGTGTCTGTGTGTATTTGTAGTATTATGATTTGTGTGTTATGAAATGCATTTTATATTATGTTTTTCACAATTTTGAAATATATTAGAAAGTTACGAAAGTAGATTTGTATTTATCCCTAACTCCCCCTAACCCCCATAGATACATATATACATCCTTGAGTAGAAATGTAAGAGGTATTTTGTATAATTTGTTACTTTGTTTTTAAAAAAAAACTTGCAAAATATTTTTCCAATTTTCACTTATAGTTTTTTCTCTTTTCTTCTTCTGCTTTCATTTACAGGGTGCAGCCAGGTTAACAAAGGAGGATATTGAAAAAGTTTTCTCACTTTATGACAGAGTAAGTCAAAGTTCTTCGAATGTGTTTTTTGAAGTTTTTGTTTTTTTTTTTGTATTTGAAGTTACACATCCGTTGCCATTTTCATTCCTTCTGCATTTTGGAAAACAACAGAAGAAATATCAAATCTGATTTGTATTATTTTTTGTTTTGCTTTCAACGGATGTTAGAAATAAAAACGGAAGTAAATCTTAAAACAAATCATTGAAGTGAATATCCGCATAAGCAGAAAAAAAACTTTGTGGGAGGTTTTGTTTTGGAAAACACAAGAACATTTTGGAGTTTTTTTAATTCCTAAAAATTTGGCAGATATAAAAAATTAGGGTTTGAGTATGGGTTGAACATTTTTAAAAAATACCTATATGAAGAATTAGAAGTGGCTTCAAATCTCTTAATTTGTATAAGCTAGGAACTCCAAAAGTAATATAATTATAAAATAAAATCAGATAGATGTACTTGGAATGGTTTAGGTGTGGTCTTTAAATACCCACTCCATGAGCCAGAAATGCCAATTTACTGCAATTTCGTTTGTAAAATACGTCCAAACCTTTCAAAAAAACAAAAATTGGGAGGCACCCTTATTAAGGGTATACCAAAACGTTGGTCCATTTAGAATTTTCTACGAAGAAGTTTTTTTATGTGCCATATAATACGTAAAATAGAACGGGAGCTTCAAATAAAGACGTCGAAATATAGACCTACCTTAGCTAAATCTTGCAAAGATATTTTTAACCCTCTATGTCACACCGTAAAAATGTCACACCATAATGTTTGTATATTATAATAATATTACGCAGAGGCTCGATAGAGGTCTAAAATGTTTGTTTTCAGTTCAGTGGTTTTAAAAATAACCACAATATTTTTGCCACGTCGTAGAATTTCTATATGATATTTCGAAACTCTTCTATAGAACTCCGGATTGCATTAAAAAGTTACCTAATAATGGAAATTTTGTTCCTTAGGGACGTTGATATAATTCTCCTAAAATCCACTTCTACTACAGACATCTATGACATCAGTATGAATTTTAATAATTCCTATAAGTCAACATTTCACTAAACTCTGCCCGACCGAATTTTTTGTAGCCTCCACTTGTAGGTAGGCATTCAAAATACAAAAATATGTCAAAAGATAAATTACGTTGTGAGTTGTCTCTCACCACAAACCCGGAACGGTAAATAACAGCCACTTCGGTGGTAAATGGGAAAATTGGGCTGGACCCATTTATGGAGAATACATTCGGAATTAGGGCCTATTCTGAGAATTTTTAGTAAAAATGTTGAATTTTCTGCGAAAAAAATACTAAAATGGAACAGGAACATCACATGGCGGCGTCCAAATATGAGTCTACCTTTTAGAAAATCTGGAATAAATATTTCACACCCTTTACGTAAGCGGAATGACAAAATACAGCCGATTCGAATGAGAAAGTCTAAAATCCAAAAAAATACAGCAATGTGGTCGGTATCGTTATATAGGAGCTATACCTAAACGTGAACCGATATATTCCATTTATAATACCAAACTTGCTAGGATAAGTTGCAATATATGTGCAGAATTGCAAAGCCTTATCAGTATCATGATTCACCAGACTGTCAAACATGGCTCTATTGACTGGAGACCCCACATAACATTAGTATTATTTTTGGCGTCTATAAATTTTGGAAAGTTAAGAATCAGATATTGTCAGTATATATAAATTAACAAATAATACAAATATATGGAGGCTGTCATTGGCCATTCCAGTCCTCCCTTGTTTTATGGATATGACGTGGACACCAAAATTCAATGGAACCCTCCACCACACGAGCTAAATCCGATAATATAGCGCCAAGTTTAGTCCCTTTCGAAGATAATCTACAATTGCAGAAGTTTTGTGCATCCTGAAATATGAAGAATATTTTCTGTTAAGTCATCCGATAATAAAAAATATAAAATTTGCTTAGGACATAGTATCATATTTTATAGTCATTTCAAATAATTATTCTTTTATCGTCTGAGTGAAAAATATTTTTTTATTTTTTATCCTTACTATAATATATATAATATCCTTACAATCATATAATACGATCATGTCAAGGAAATGCAAATTTATTACCATTTACCGATGCTCATCTCTTTCATTTTTTTCTTTAACAATTACCTTCGACAGGATGGCAGCGGTTCAATTGAAAATGAAGAGCTCAAAGGATTTCTTAAGGATTTATTGGAATTGGTGAAAAAGGTAATACACTTAACCTTAAAAAACGTTTTAGTAAAAAACGTGAAAATAGCACAACTGCAAAAAATTAAAATTTAGACATACTTTTTATGCACTTTTTTTAGAAACTGCTACTGACTCGGCCAAACAGTATATGACAAGAAAAGCCAATAGCAAATCAAACAACTTTTCTTAAAACCCCGATTCCATTGGTTGACTCCTTCACATAGTTATAGCCTCACAAATTCATCAAGATGAACCAAAGAAATTCACTCCCAATTGTATGTTTATAGAAATAAAAATTGCTATGCTTTTTTCAATAAATAGGTAAAAAGAAAAAAACTATATACAAAAGACGATAATTTAAGCATGAAATTATTTTGATGATTGAATGATTTCATTATTTATTTTTCTGACTGAAACTAATTCATTTCAATTTATGTTTTTTCTTCTTTTTTTCCTTTTCATCACCAAAAAGGATGATTATGATGCCCAGGATCTGAAGGCTTTCGAAGAGACCATTTTACGTGGTGTGGGCTATGACAAGGATGGTAAAATTTCACGCAAAGAATTAACCATGATTTTGCTGACCTTGGCCAAGATGCCACCAGAGGATGAACAGTAAAGTCCTTTTAGCAGGAGAATAATGGAAAACCTAAACAAAAAACCAACAACAACATCCCTTTTTTAATCAAGATAAGGAAATTCATGATTACTAAAGCATGATTGGAATACTCTTTTTTCTTTTGCTTGATTTGGTGGCGATTAAAGTCGAAGTTTTGGCAAAAAATTAAGGAAACACAACAACAATATACTCAAATACTTTAATGAAAATACAAAAACTTTTTAGGTAAGCTAAATAAAATATGAAAAAAAATAATTCAAGGTATTTATTTAAATACTTTTAGTGATTAAGTAAAAAAGAATGTGTTTTCTTTTCATTTGAATTATAATTGATTTTCGAATTTATTACCAAAAAAATATATATATTAATAGAAACAAAAATAATTTTGTCATAAAAATTATATGTGGAATTTGCCATTTTATTAATAATAAGTAAGCAAGAGGAAATAAACTAACGAATTAAATTGGAAAAATCAACGATTTTATTATGTTTATATAATAATAATAGTCAATAGAGATATATATTGTATATGTATACATATTTGTTGTTTAGTTCATTTTTTAGATAATTTTTTTATATATAAATAATAAATTAAATAATAAACACAAGTTTTAGGGGCGTGGAGGGCTAAAATTCAACCTCAATAATTTGTTCTTAGAAAAAAGTGAATTTAGATGCAAATTTTTCTTGATTATTATAATCCAAATATTTTCGACAGGATTATGGACATCTATTTGATAATATTTTGAACTATAATAAGAGAATTTTAAATGGAAGTTCGGGAGTTTACCAGACCTACATTTAGGTATGGTACTCTACAACATTTGGCATATATTTATATATTTATTCGGCTTTGGGTTAAGTTCAAATATCAGAAGAAATTCTTTTTAAATTTGGAAAGCTAACTTTATTTTAAATCTGGGGGGGTTAAAATTCCCCCGAATTCCATAAATTCCCTTCATAAATATCCTTCTCCACGCCCCCACACCCTCCATATTGTAGTTAAGTGTATTTTTTGAAATTAACAAAAATATATTGAAATGGTTTTGAGATTTTCCAAAATCACAACCTTTTTTCCCCCACTCCACAAAACAAAATTTGTCTCAAAAATTTAAGCTTTTTTTATTGAACTTGAAAACTAAGAAAAAGAAAAGCTAAATTGAAAATCAATCAACCACAAACCAAGGCCAAAATAAACAAAATTTATGCTTAGCATTAAGCCAATTAAGGGTCAATAAATATTTAAGGCTAATTGATTAAACAAAAAATGGAAAAACTATAAGAAGAAAACGTAACATGCATTGGCATTCTCACACAATTGTGATTAAAATAATAGCAAAGGAGAAGAGAAGAGGAGGCAAGGATGATGGAGTAATATTTCAAATGGAAAAAATGTGACTTTCTAACGGAAAAATGGAATATGTTCACCATTTTGAGTACACAGAATATGTTCAGCTTTTCTGTGATCTAAGTTTTTTTTCAATATTAGTTTTAAAATGTCCATATTTCGAAAAAATCTCCTTTAAAATATAGCAAAAGAATTGGATCGAATAGCAATGAAAATTCTATGACAATATTGGTTTGTACCTGTGCTCAAAATATTGAAACACTACAAATTGGAATGATATGCTATGCTCAAAAATATAGTAATGACTCTATGTAAAATTGTTTAGAGTGTATAAAGATGTAAAATCTCCAAACTAGAAATCCCACGTATATCACGAAGTTGGGCTCGAAAATACAGTGATGAATATCCAGAAAAATTATTGAGAATTGACTTGAGGAGAAAGTCAGAAATATATTTTTTTACAAAATTATTTTCTGATATGTACAGAAATCTTGCGCCTTGAAAATTCTATAGGAATGGGACCGTTAAGAACCATCTATGGGAAAATAATCTTTGATCCTTTTCAAAATGAATTGGCAGGACTTGGCTGTCAATTTACTTCGAAGAATTATTAAAAATGGTTAAAATCCATCTTCATTTGACGATTTTCTAAAAAATGTTCCACAAACATTTTAATAAATTGTAAATTTTTTATAAATGCATTTTTATTTAATTGATTTTTTCTAACTCGTTTTTTACTTTCAAGAAATTAATTTTCAATGTATGCTGACCCCTTAATATGGTCAAGTCCTTGCTATTAATTTAATCACAACTGTTACAATAATTGCTCCTACTTTTTGGTGACCTTAAACACATTTGTTCTTCTTCTAGAAAAACCAATTGAAATACAATAATAATACCAAAAAAAATACTAAACAAATGAGAGAAAGCTACCTTAAAAATATTAAACAAACCAAACAAAAAAATATTTAGTAGAAGAAAATAAAATTTCAAAATTTTGCCGCAAACCAAAACAATATGTGAATGAAAGAAACTTAACAATAAAAAACAAATATTACAAACAAAAATTGTTGAAATATGATATAGAAAAAATTTTATAAATGTTATAAAGCAAATACACAAATACCATACAATTTTAATAATAATAGCAAAATAACAACAAACACAAAAGCAGAGAAGAAACCAAATTTATTAATTGAACAAAAAAGAAGAAAATGGAAAAAATATTTATATTTATATTTGATGTTAAGTATATAATGAAACACAATAAATTTAATGTGAAAAAATCAATATTTTTAAGTTAAAAATAAAAAAATATTTAAACTTTGTTATATATAAAACAAAACACAAAAATAATTCTCTCTTTAAAATCTGTATTAATCCTTAAACTTAAATTAAATAATGCGGTGCTATCCCCCTAACTAAAAAAATTAACTTAGATTTTCCTATTTTATTCCTTTATTAAGTTTTCAAATAAAATAAAAAGCAAATGCTAACACTAACTCTATAAACAAATTAAAACTTGTTATTGAAACTCTAAAACTCTCTCTTTATATCATATCAAAGCTTTTCCGAAAAAATATAAACAACAAAAATTGAAAGTAATCTTGGCCCCTTAAGCCAATCAAACCAAAATTATATGCGTAATAACAACAGCAACAACAACTACACCAATGAATTCCAATGAACTCTCTCCTTTAATTACAAAAAACAAATTGAAATGCTGAAATAAATGAAAATCCATGTTAAATATAAGAAGCAAAACAAGAATAAAATATGAAATAAAAAATAAAAAAATACAGAAAACGGTCTTTGGATTAATTATTTAAAAAGTGAATGAAAGGCACGTGTAGAAAATATTTATCAAGTTTGAAATGGGGAAGGAGAAAAAAAATTCACAAACATATACATTGAGGCATGTTATGCGAATTAAATTTGTCTTTTATTATGTGAAGAATTTTAAAAACATTATTGATTTAAATTAGCCTAAATTAGCTGGTAGTCGTTATGACACAATAAATCGGCTATATTTTCAAGAGTTTTTGAGATTTTCACTTGAAATTTTGTAGGGACATTCTTGAATTAGTGTAGATTCGAATTACATAAAAAAATGTTTGACCCCGAGAATGGGGGGGGGGGGGGGGGTTCCCTTAAGGATTTATAAATAAATTTTTACCATTATTAGTAGATGATTACGGAATGGGTCATTATTTTTTTTAGGTATTGTATCTACGATATTTGAAGCAATCAAATTCGCAAGCCATCGGGATCGCCTCAATATTTCAGTGGCTGTATCTGACAAAGAGAAGAGTTAGCCCCCAGGGTAAAAATATCGGGAAAGCAACACTCCAGAAACATTCAAAAAGTATTAAAAAATATATATAATTTGCAGCTTTGAAGCGAATCGTAGGCGAGATACTAGCTATGAAGAGATTTAAACTGACCTAAAAGTATGCTACAATTTTCTTTACAAATCTAGCAGACATGAACGACAAAATTTTGTCCGTTTTTAAAAGAACGATTTATGGGAGATTTTCATTTTTAGGTAACAGGCGCCCAGCACCGAACAGTAAGTATGTTTTGGAATATCGTTGAATTGAAATGCAAATAACTCAGCGACTCAGCGACCGATTTTTATAAATTTTGCAAAAATGGTTCGAGGGACTTCTGAAGTTTTATTTCATATCGCTCATTTGCTGCAAGACTAATTGACTAAATATTGACTAATTCGTTTACACGAAACATCTTCTGTATATATCCAAAGTGGTTGAGGGCAACATGTAGTCGACCAAGTCCAAATTTTTACCAATAGCCAATAAGATATCATATTGAAGAGTAGATCTTTATTGTAGAAACGGCAAATTTAAATTTTCAAACTTCTTTCAGATGACAATTTCGAAACATATCTTTCTAAGTAATTTTTCACTTACAACATTTCATATTTACGAGAATACGAATGGGTTTCAAACTAAACTGATTTCTTAGCACCACTAATTTTATTGCAATGGCATCAATAGTTCAAAACATATGGGACAAATACCAGAACATTAAATTTTTCGCTATCGCCATTTCAATCTAGCACATCAATAGATGGTGTTGCGGTCGCCAAATTGTCAGATCGTTATGGTATCAAGGCATTCATAAAATTTAAATAACTTTTGAGCGAATTGTGCTTTTTGAAAGATTTAGACGGTTATAAGCAGGTTAAAACTTCTCTATGTGCTACAAGAAATTTTAAATCTCTACCGGAAGTAGGTAAATTGTGCTACAACATAATATCAACCGTTAATTCCGAGCTCTCTATGAGATTTTTTGAAGACCAAATAAGTGTGCATAAAGAGAGGATCCTTTAAACGATAATAACTGTTGAATTTTTCGAAATAGCTAAATCCATTTCAAAGCTATTTAAATTTTTCCAATACCTTGATTTTTGTCCCTTACGACCTGTCAATTTGGGATCTATTCATGCAGTAGATCGAAATGGCGAGAACAAAAAATTTAAGGGTTTCTTTAATCTTCAATAACTTTGGAAATACTTGGAGTTTCAAAATAAAATTGGTATCATATGAAAGGTAAGAACTTTAGCTATTTTGAAATCTGTTAATATATTCATATACTAAATATTGTTTTAAAGAATACCATAAAAAATTACAAACTTAA